CTGCTACTAGATCTCAGGGTTTTCTGGTAAATCACATTATGGTTTGTCTTTGTGCCCCTAGAATTTAGCATATTATATACCTGACTTATACAAGATGTGCCGAAAACATTTGTAAAAATGAATTGTTTTCCATTTTCAGGGCCATTTTCAGTCTTCATACAGGGTATTATAAGAGCAGTAGTCAATGATATTTATTGTTTTCTTTTGTAGCTCAGACCATGACCGACTTCATACCTTGGTAACTGAACACTGTTTTCCAGTAAGTTCTCATCCTCCTTAGAACTTTGGGGTGACTGAGTGGACAGATTCTAGACATCGTCTCTGGTTTTTCTTTTCTTTTCTGTTTTTTTTTTGAGACAGATTTTCGCTCTTGTTGCCCAGGCTGGAGTGCAATGGTGCGATGTTGGCTCACCGCAACCTCCACCTCCCGGGTTCAAGTGATTCTTCTGCCTCAGCCTCCCAAGTAGCTGGGATTACAGGTGCCCGCCACCATGCCCGCCTAATTATTTATTTATTTATTTATTTTGAGACAGAGTCTTGCTCTGTCGCCCAGGCTGGAGTGGAGTGGCAAGATCTCGGCTCACTGCAAGTTCCGCCTCCCGGGTTCATGCCATTCTCCTGCCTCAGCCTCCTGAGTAGCTGGGACTGCAGGCACCCGCCACCACACCCAGCTAATTTTTTGTCTTTTTAGTAGAGACGGGGTTTCACCGTGTTAGCCAGGATGGTCTTAGTCTTCTGACCTCGCGATCCATCCGCCTCGGCCTCCCAAAGTGCTGGGATTACAGGTCTGAGCTACTGCACGTGGCCTAATTTTGTATTTTTAGTAGAGATGGGGTTTCTCCATGTTGGTCAGGCTGATCTCTAACTCCCGACCTCAGGTGATCCACTGACCTTGGCCTCCCAAAGTGCTGGGATTACAGGCATGAGCCCCACCATGCCCTGCCTGGTTTCTCTTAAGAAGGATCAGTTTTGAGAGTGTAGGAAGTTTAAGGTACAGGCTGAAGTTTCATTGCTTGTAGCCGAATGATAATGTCTTGACACGGACTCTGGTAAGGGCCCTGGCGAATAAAAGAGGTCCCTCAACCAGCAGTCATGACACTGCAGGAGCATCCTGAGGCTTGGATATGGGCTATACGAGGCCACATCTCCATATGCCTGCACTATCATGAAGGATTTAACCAGAGTTCGTGAGGCTTATATTGAGTGATAACAGCAGTGTGAGGCACTTGGAGGGACCCCCAAAGATAAGAACTTTGTAGTTCATTTAGGGATTCAAGAATAAGAACTTGGGGCTGGGTGCAGTGGCTCACGCCTGTAATCCCAGCACTTTGGGAGGCTGAGGCGGGTGGATCACAAGGTCAGGAAATCAAGACCATCCTGGCTAACATGGTGAAACCCCGTCTCTACTGAAAATACAAATAAATTAGCGGGGCATGGTGGCGGGCGCCTGTAGTCCCAGCTACTTGGGAGGCTGAGGCAAGAAAATGGTGTGAAGCTGGGAGGTGGAGCTTGCAGTGAGCCGAGATCGTGCCACTGCTTCAGCTTGGGCGACAAAGCGAGACTCCCGTCTCAAAAAAAAAAAAGAACCTTGGGTTTCTATCAATAGAACTTCAGTTTCTATAAGTCTTCCCCAGTCCTAGCAGTTTAGCCCTTAAGTCCTGTAAAATTCCCACTTTTCATTGTTAATAGGTGAGTGGGAAAAATATATATATATGCAGTCAACACAAGTACATGCAATAATTGCCAGATTATGAAAGTGTATGGGAGGGATGATGGTGTATTGGGCATGCTGGCAGTTTGGAATGTGGTTTTCATTGATTTGGAGAAGGGTGCTCAAAGAGGAAGGTGGGTCTGAAGTTGTGATTTAGATAAAGAGAGAGTTGTCAGGTGAACTTGCCCAATAGCTTAATCAAAACTTGGGAAGGTGCGAGAGAAAACAGGCACAAGAGAGCATGTGGTGGGAAATGTGCTGCCTGTTGGCTGTAGTCTTGCAGGAAGTAAGAGCAGTGTGGCAGCACCAGCTTCCTTAAAGGGAGGGAAAAATCCAGTTGAACTTGTTCTCCTCTGCCCTTAGGACATGACCTGGGACCTCAAATATAAGACCGTCCGCTGGAGCTTCGTGGAATCTTTAGAGCCCTCCCATGTTGTTCAAGTTCGCTGTTCAAGTATGATGAACGAGGGCAACGTGTACGGCCAGGTCACCGTACGCATGCATACCCGGCAGGTAGAGGCACTAGTCTGCCTTCCTCCCAGCTTTTCTTCACACTGAACTTGGGCACCTCCCTCTGGAGTGCTGGGTGTGGTTGCCCAGGACTGTAAGCAGTAACAAAAGGTACACTGTGATCTGTCTTCCTTGCTGTGCTGCTGTCGCCTTCCCACTGTTACATGTTGGCTCTACTAAGACATGTGTGAGGATATTCTCTCCCACCCTTCCTGTTTTTTTTTTTTTTTTCTCCAAGACAGGGTCTCATTCTGTCACCCAGGCTGGAGTGCAGTGATGTGATTATGGCTCACTGCAGCCTCAACCTCCTGGGCTGAAGCAATCCTCCCACCTCAGCCTCCAAGTAACGGGGACTATAGGGGCATGCCACCACGCCTGGCTAATTTTAGTATTTTTTGTAGAGACCAGTCTTGTCATTTTGCCCAAGCTGGTCTCAGACTTCTGGGCTCAAGTGATCTGCCCACCTCAGCCTCCCAAAGTGCTGGGACTATAGGCATGAGCCATTGTGCCCCACTCCTTCTTGGTCTTGACTTCCCCCATCCCTGCCCCCTGTCAAAGAACTTGTGTCTTTGAGTAAAGTGTCAGTAGTTGATCAGATAGTCCTAGATTCAGAATTCCGAGATAATTTTTTTCTA